TGAATTGCATCATGTTATTCCTAGAAGTCATGGATGATGCAATCATAACGAAGCTTACATCACTCTGCTGAACAAATTGCCCTATATCAGCTCTAGAAATCATACAGTGTCATGCTCTCTTCTTTGTCAGTGTTTGATTTTGCAAAGGGACACATTTCTGTTTAGCCAAAGTGAGCAGAGATGCCTCGTACTTGTGTGAACAGTGCAGATAACTTCTGCTATGTTTGTGGTGAAGTGACTTTTGCATCACAAAATCGCAGTATAACCACTATGGTTAAGAAAGCCTATCACCTTTATTTTGGCTGCAAAATTGGAGATCAGAACAAGAGGTGGGCCCCACACATATGCTGCAACACTTGTGCAACAAATCTTTGCCAGTGGTTGAACAGGAAAAGGAAATCTATGCCTTTTGCAGTGCCAATGATTTGGAGAGAGCCAACAGATCATAGCAGCAATTGTTACTTCTGCATGGTGCCTCCAGTTGGGAAAGGTGTGTCAAAGAAGGAAAAAGTGGATTGTGAATAGGACTAAACTATGTACATAAGTTTTTTGCCTTTTGTTTCATAATAAATTTTATTTATATAACCCTTTTGCTGATTTTTAAAGTGTTACATAAACAGGACAGGTGAAATATTATCATGTAAAGCAACCATAAACACATGAAAAGACCTAGGTTTACAATTTGTGATTAAAACTCTACTATCTATACAACATACATAGACATAAAATGTAAAAACTTAAATATCTTAGAAACAGTAGCCAATCAGTTGTTTTGTCATATTTGAATTCAGCACATCAAAATTCATAATAAATAGCACATTTTATCTCTGAAGCAGACGACTTCTCAAAAATTGTAGATCAGTGTAATTGATTTTAACATTCCAGTTGTGTAAATCATCCCACCATGCTTCAGTAATACCAACTAGATCAAATTAATGCCCATAAAAACTCCTAACTTTGGTGTATAGGCAATTAAAGAATTTCTCCTCTTCATTTCCTTTGGTTCCTGGATTAATTTTGTTCTCAACATCTTGATTTTGCGCTAATTCAGTGCTCAGATCTTCCTTTCTTTTACAATCCCATTTTGTTATTAGTTTAATGCCCACCCAACTACTCTAGCCAGCCTGTCCCCAAGAAGACTGGTTCCCCCTTCTGTTGAAGTGGAGGCCATCCAAACAATACAGCTACCTCCCCTTGTAGAAGATGGACCAATGTTCCACAAAACCAAAACCCTCCACCACTTACTTAGCTAGCGGTTCACTTCCAGAATCTTCTGCCTTTGCTTGCGGGACCAGAAGGATCTCAAAGAAGTTTGCTTGGACATTCTCGTTCTTCAGTCAAATATCCTGCAACACAGTGTCAGTATGAACCATCACCAATGGATCCTTTCCAGTCGACTTCAGAAGCCTATCTAATCTTTTCGTGATGGCTCCAGGAAGGCAGCATACTGTCCTGTGGTCCACCTATCCCTTGAAGAATGTTCTTTCGGTTCTTCTGAGTATTGAATCCCCAACAAGGATTGTCTATCTTCCTTGGACTGTTGGAGAACTCTTTGTGAGCAAGCTTGATTTGCTTACAGCTGCCATCCAGAGGTGTGTCCCATACAGCTCTCAGTTCCCTTTGACTAGCTGGATCTTGAGAGACATCTTCAACAGTTTCCATGTTGAGGGCCTGGTATCGACTGGAAATTTCTAGCTCTGTGAAATTCCTGGTCCTCTTCTCTCTGGTGGCCACAGCCTGCCTATCCTCATCTCTCTCCAGACGTGTAGAATGCTGCTGTGACCACTTGCCTCTGGTGCTTACAAACTGCTCAGCCTCTTTTCTGGATTCCTCTCTCTCTGATTCCTTGGTGGCCAGCTTCTTTTTTCCTTGAACCTGGGGTACTTGTGTTTCCCAAACCTGGCTGTCTAGGAACTCCTCAGCTCCTCAGATTCTCAGCAGTGTCTCGCCTTGCCCCTCCAATCCAAGAATCGTCTCCTCCAGCACAACTAACTACTTGCAATTCATGCACATGAAGTCCTTTCTGGTTTCAGACAGAAAAGAAAACACGGCACATCTGTTGCAGGTCACCACCACTATTCCATTGCTGGCCATCATGGAATCACATGAAGAGCTGAACCTGGAAGGAAAACCTCTCACATTTCCTCTCTCAACTTCCTCCAGAACACTCCTGTGAGCTGCCTCTGTTCATGGCTCTTGAGTTCACCTGGCAAGTGACTTTTTATACCAAGCCTTCCTGCTTAGATCAGCTCAGCTCCACCCCTCACCACCATGGAGTGATTAACCACTCAGAGCCTTCAAAGAGCTGAGCTGTTCAGAGCTCCAAGGGTCAGAGCCTCTGGGCCTTTACCAAGGCACCAACAAACAGCCTGAGTAAGCAATGGAGAGAGGTTCTATGTCTACCTGGGCAGTCCCAGGTGCCTTGGGCTAAGGGCTAAGGGACTATTTAACTGTAGTATAGATGTTCAGATTCGCACTGGAGCCTGGACGGTAGGACCCTGCCCCCGAACGTCTACACTGCAATTAAACAGCCCCTTAACCTGAGCCCCGCAAGCCTGAGTCAGCTGGCATAGGCCAGCCACGGGTGTCTAATTGCAGTGTAGACATACCCTGAGGGTACACAGCCCATACAGAGAGAGCAAACAAACAACCCACAAACACACCACTCACCAGAAAGTCTGCAGCTACGCCCTCTGAAACTTTCCCGTTAGCTGCCTCCGTTTGCAAAAGACTTTTATGGGTAACCTCTGGTAAGTTTTTAGCATGCACCTAGCATTTTTTATTGTTTTTACATATTTTTCTCTCTAATGCTTTTACCTTAAGAATAAATGGGCTTGCTTAGGAAGAGTTGGGTGGTAACTTGTAACTGCTGGCAATACACTGGTCATAGCCCTTGGAGAGAAAGCAAAGAGCAGGTGCTGGCTGTTAGGCAGAGGTGGATTAAGATTTCACGGGCTCTAGGCCTGAGCAAGTTGGGAGTCCCCTCCTCACACCTTCCACCTGCAGTCTCGCCTCCTATTCCGCCCTTTCCGCCTGAAGCCCCACCCAGAGCCCCACACCACTCTGCCCCTCCCCCCCACTTGTCCCATCCATCTGGGATGACTGGGCCCAGACTCAACTCCCAATACTTTTCCATGAACCAGCGCATGAAAAGCTTCCAGGCCTTCCATGTGCAGCATATCTGCAGCACGGGTTCCCAAGGAAGTTGCTGTGATAATCTTGTCCACGCTCAGTGGCAACAACCTCTGCCTGGTAGCCTTTAAGGGCCTTCACAACATCCTCTGGCAAGGGGTTCCACAGGTTGACTATGCATTATGTGAAAAAATATTTCCTTTTGTTTGTGTTAAACCTGCTGCCTATTAATTTCATTTGGTGACCCCTAGTTCTTGTATAATGTGAAGGAGTAAATAACACTTCCTTATTCACTTTCTCCACACCAGTCATGATTTTATAGACCTCTATCATATCCCCCCTTAGTCGTCTCTTTTCCAAACTTCATCCACCCCAAGGAAGCCCTAGGTAAAGTTCAGCTGAGTGCTGCTAGTTTAAAAAGCAGAGAGTTCTTCCCAGGACCTCTGGAGAATGACGAGTCACGTAACACTTTGTATATTTTTATTCTATACATTTTTATGAAACCTTTGTAATATAAAAATAGTAACTATAAAGAGTCTACCAGTAAAGGCAAGGATCAAAACAAAAGCCCATTTCACGTTGTAGAAAGAATTTTCACCAACGAGATGAAACTGGTGCCACTTGTGAACACTTCTCTGGGTGATGTGTGAGCCAAAGAAGAACTCAGCCCCCTACAATTAGCCTGCTCCTGGTACCACCCAGAAGTAATTCTTCCAAGACGTATTTAATTCTTATAACCCCTTTGTGGCACCCATCCCTATTAGTACAAGCTCAGTCACACCAGAGAGCCAGACATTTGCCGGGGTTAACTAGCCGACTTGACGTTGCTATGCCATGTAGTACAGGCCTGCTTCAGCATTTAGGTGATGAGCGACCCCATGCCATGGCGATTCTATGGCTGTAGCCCCCATCGCAGACAATGAAGTAAATACTACCTGTACTGGGGCGGATTGGCCGCCCACAGACCCGGAAGGAGAGGAGCCACTCCCCCCAATGGACCACACAACCCCCTCGAGACTATGACATTAAGGGACTAGTTTAAGCAGTTCACACAGTAACAAGTGTGGGACTAGAGAAACTCCTGGGAAGGAAAGGCCTCTGGCTCACTGGTTAACATTGTTTTATGGTTCAGTGCAAAAACAAAAGGCTCAGTAAAGTGCAGAATTTACAAGATACACGCGGGCAGGTTCGCAGAATGCTTTGTAATCCCCTTCTTTTGTTTGGCACAAGCCATCTGGATAGCAGACGACGTCAATCAGCTCCAGCACGGTGCGGCCTAGCTTGGAAGCTCCCACCAGTTCTGTGCGCTGTACGGTGGTTTTTGATGGCTATGAGCACAGAGTAACTACATTACAGTCTGATCACCAAATTCTGCCCTGACTTACCTGGAGCAAACAGGAGTCTAGAGGTTGTAAGTCAAGGCAGAAGTTGGTCCATCTATTTATACTAGCACTTCTGGGATCCGGGATCGATTTATCGCGTCTAGACAAGACACGATAAATCGATCCCAGAAGCTCGATCGCTTACATCCGGACCAGGAAGTAAGTATAGACGTATCCTTAGGAACAAAGCACAATGGAAATTAGAGCAGTTTTTAGCCAGACCAGCAGAGATCAGTTTTCATACACATACTCAATGCTGATTGCACAGTATGGCAGCACTCTCTGCACTTGCCCCAGATGAGGACATCGCTTTCTAAACACGTCCTTGCTGGTGTTCAGTCCGTTGTTACTATCCACATACACATTACTCCATGAGGAACTAATCTTTGCACAAAAAGTTTGGTTTTTACATTCTTACATTGTAAGACAATCAGGAAAATTACTTCCCATCTTCATTAGCTGCTGTGTGCCCATTAAGATCTGTTCAGGAGCTGATAAACTCCTTGGTAAAACTCCGGTAGAAATCCATCAGGGACCATCGATAGCCAGCCCTGACCACTGCTGTTGCTCCCTTGCGAGTTTCTAAGTACATTAGCAAGAGAACAGACCATCTGCTCCTTAGAGTGACCCTGCCTATTCCTCATCCATGGTAACAATCCAGGTTTGCCATCGTGACGTGTTGTGGGGCGGAGGAACAGATGTCAAATGACCGCTTTAGAGAATAGGAGCATGTGAGCCCTGCAGCACTAAGGATCGGGGTTTCATGCAATTGTCCCTGAGTAACAAAACCTGCAAAGCATAGACGATTTCTTGAGGGGATTCTGTCAGTCTCGTTTTCCCACTGGAGATGGGGGGCACCCAGTACTACAGCTCAGTTATGACCGCAAAGCCTACACAACACTTACTAGATTTGCCCAGCCTTATATGACAGACACTACGCTTGGCCAGCTAGAAGTATTGAACTAGAGAGTTTTACTTGTACTGCAGATTCGCCCAACTGGGCCACTGAAAATCCAGAAATGCAGCTTGATTAACTTGCTATGCGCTTGACTGCCCTTCTCATGGGCGAGAAAGGGATGCAGCCATTTGACGTCTTTTGAGCACATGGACGTCACCAGTCCACGCCACCCTTTTGGAAAGTGAATCTAGTGCTGTTCTCACTGTAGAATTGAGCAAACCAGCGTCTGTGCCTTTGGATCGCGGAATCTTCTTTTACCAGCAGTGGTTTAGACAGATATTGCTTGTTGTTCCAGATCATGATATCACGTTCAAACTGGGGGCAGAAGAAACAGAATCACTGTAAATACATGGAACTTTGAACTAGGGTCTCATTCATGCTACCAAGCCACTGGTGATGCTACCAGTACCACACATTAGTGTTTCTAGCGATCCCACGGGCTCTGAAGCAAGCTCAAGTATTCAGCTTTTGCTGGCACTGTGTTTTGAGTGTTTATTAGCCACAGAGAACATAAGAACGGCCCTACTGGGTCAGACCAAAGGTCCATCTAGCCCAGTATCCTGTCAGGTGCCCCAGAGGGAATGAACAGAGCAGGTAATCATCAAGTGATCTATTCCCTGTCGCTCATTCCCAGCTTCTGGCAAACAGAGGCTAGGGACACCATCCCTGCCCATCCTGGCTAATAGCCTTTGATGGACCTATCCTCCATGAACTTATCTAGTTCTTTTTTGAATCCTGTTATAGTCTTGGCCTTCACAACATCCTCTGGCAAGGAGTTCCACAGGTTGACTGTGCGTTGTGTGAAGCATCCACATTAACTCCCTGCATCCTCACCAGACAAGCTTGGGGGAACTTCAGGGATTCATAGGGCTCCTTGCTGCCCAATTTTCTTTATCAAAATCCTTTTTGGGGTTCACCTGGGATCTTTCAAAATTTCTGTTATCCTGGAGGCATCACCCCTTAGCACTGTTCAAGGTTTAGGAGAAGAGTTTATTTTTAGCACCTCTCATAGGCTCCAGGTGCTGAACAATAGCATTTACCTTTCCAGACTAAATATTTTACCACCAAGCTGGTGTGGGGCTAATCTAGCCATGTCTGGGGCCTTTTAACAACTCTGCAATACACCATATGTATCCATCCACAGGAACCGCAGAAGGGTACAAGGCCTCTGGCAGCCCAACATGGGAGGCCTTTTTAAGAGCAGCTTCCCTCATGATAGAAAATACCCTGAAAGCAGTGCCTTCCCTTTAAGATAGAGGATGATCCAAGTCAAGGGTTTGAGCTTGTCAGGCGGGTGGCAGGAGCTCGCTGGGAGAGGCACACTCATGTCTAGGCTCCTAACTCTTAAGGGTAAGACTCATAACTTAAATTCCACCCAGCCATCAGATTAATGGAGCTCAATTTGCAGTGCAGCCATTGGAGAGACTAGTGTTGCTCATACACCTTAGTAACACATGCAAGGTCTGACGTTTGCACTTGTAGCATGCTTGGACCCTTGACAGATAGGGCTGCTCCCCTCCCCTTGCAGAGCTACCATGGCAAGTCAGAGCAAACAGGCTCCAGCTTTCATCCAGGGTGCACAACCAGCTGTAAACTGGATCCAGACCTTGCAGGGAATAAGTCATTGAGGGAATGCCAAGGCCCATTGTTGGCAGGGACTGGCAAGCCTCTGCCAGAGAGGCAGGGCCGGCTCCAGGGTTTTGGCCGCCCCAAGCAGCCAAACAAACGAACAAACAAAAAAAGCAATTCCGAGCAGGAGTGAGGGACCGTCTGCCAAATTGCTGCCGAACAGCTGGATGTGCCGCCCCAAGCACCTGCTTGGTAAGCTGGTGCCTGGAGCAGGCCCTGCAGAGAGGGGGAGTCGCCAGCCCCGCCTAGCTGAGTAGTGCCAAGAGGCTTTCTTGGTGCAGTGTGTGCTGACAGAGAGGTATGGCAGGCTCAGGAAGGGGCTCTGAGCTCAGGTGGGGTTTTTAGAGGCTACCAGAACTAAATTGGGCCTTTGCCATCCATCACGCACTCTCCACCTGAGAGCACCTTGCTTCCGCCGCCGGTTCCTTCAGCTGCCTCGGATGTTGCGAACCTGAAGCTGCTGTTGAAAGGGCTGCAGGCCCTGGCAGGGTTCTAGTCCCCGGTCAGAGAGGTCCCAGATAGTAGCAATGCCCTCTGTCACTGCTCTGGGGGTTGTGAGTAACCAGGGCAATGCAAGATACAGGCATCAAAACACCAGCACGCAGCACCAAGGGTTGTGAAGCCCTGGAAGGAGCTGGTGGAGCCCAAATTACACCCTCAGACCTCCCCTTGCTCAGCAAATGTGATCTGAGGTGCGGGAGGGTCTCCTCTCATCAAGGATTCCCAACAGCAACAAAGCCCAGAAACTGCTATTCTTCACCTAGCCGGACACTCCTGGGGTCCTTGATACAGGATGCAGGACTTCTGTGGTCATCTAGGCCCTGGCCACTGGCTCAGCTACTGCCAAATATGGTCCTGGGACTAACTGCGAAAGCCGGTGGAAATTTCAGCGAGTGCAGCACGGTGCTGCCTTGCTTGTGAACAAGGCAGGCTAGGACAGTGTGCAATGCCTGGGATCTGCCCCAGCCTGCTCCCCACTCCCATTTGCAGTGTTGGGTGCCGGATACCTAGTGCCCCTCTCCCTCCCCCCTCCCTCCCCCCCGCCTTCAGCAACAGCTTCCCTGAGCCCTTTGGAGGGCAGCTGTAGCTGTCCAGAACATTTTATCTGTCCCAAGGGAGGAGTAGGCACCTAAATCCCATTGGCTTTCAGAGCACCGAGGAGGTGGGGCAAGCCATTCTTGCCTCTGGCCTTCACTCCTGCCACATCTGGAAGCCTAAGCCAGACACACCCAAGAAATGCACCAAGAGACAGCTTTGCTGCCTGCCAGCTCCTGTGCCTTTAGCATTCAGCCTCCTGGCCTGGCTCCTGCAGCTGCCTGCCAGCTCCTGTGCCTTTAGCATTCAGCCTCCTGGCCTGGCTCCTGCAGCATTACCAAAGGTTGGAGGCACAGGGGAACTAGCACTACGTGTAATCCAAGCCCAGACACTGCAGCCCCGAGTGCCACAGAGAGCAGCTGGTTCCAAGACACCAAGTGGCTTGGCAGTGCTTACAGCAGCCCCCTTTAGAAGTAATTCTTTGGGTCCATCTGCACATCGTGATGGGGGGGGGGGATAATTCCCCATCTTGAGAGACGTCTGTGCGCTAGCTCACTCAGACGTGTAGCCTTGGCACGCGCTGTGGGAGGGGCTAGCTGCTCTGAGTACGTACCAGTGTCCTGGACAGGCGCAGACTCAGACGCCCCC